TTAATCTCGATTCTTAATTCTCCTGGTTAAAAACATTTTAAATAATTAAATAAATAAAAACATGGCATGGTGAATGAGGAAATAAGTGAACTTGTAGGTCGACTGGAGATTAACGCTTCTTAAGAGCTGCATTGTTTGGTTGATTATTGAGTCAACAGGAAGGTAATCAAACTATTTGGATGCAAACGTTAGCTTTAGGCATGTGTGTAAGAAGTTCAGTATAATGCTCGTTATAGATTATTAATAGTGTCGTCTGTGTCAGATAATCTAAACACTGGTCGGGTTCAGATGGTTACCTTAAGCTCTGTAAATACATCGCCTTGTCTTAGGGAAATTTAAAACTTGACATTTTCTTTATAAAATTAAATTTCTAAATGACTTTCTCGTATTTTATGACAAGAAGCAATTTATCTATTTACAGGGACAATCGTTGTCAGGTTAGTGAGCACTATTAAGAGTATTTTTCCCGCTTCATTCCTTTCAGTAATCATGGTGAATATGCAAAAAAGAAAATGTTACCAAGATCTAGTTAAGTGCAGAAGCTCTTAGTGGACTTACAGTACATCTATACATTTAAATCTAAGGTAAGACTCTGTTTACCAGTGATAACATTTATGTTGATTCCTATAGATCTTGACTTTCATTAGCTCGGGATAACGATGCTGGTTTTCCCATGATAACCGGATCATTCCTCCAGATGTGGAGACGCCGCTGTAGTTAACCCATTCTCATGATAAAATCCTAAAATGAGATAAATGAGTCTAAATCTCAAGAAAACTGAGTTTGTCTGTTAGGATTTCCGTATGATGTTCCTACTAAATATTTCAACTGATTAAACCCACTCACATTGAGTTTAAAATGCATTAAAAGTCTTTGTTTCCTAGAGAGTAGATCATTTATTGAGCTTGTCCGGTCGACCTTAAACATTTCACATCAGGTTTTTATTCAGGCTTCGTTCTTTCAGGTTGAACTTTACTTCCTGTGCTCAGGTGAGACGCTCAGCTATGATCTCAGTGTGAGGTGTGAGCACTGCTGAGAGTCTCCGCTGGGTCTGTAACTGTTCTGTAATTATGATATTTCAGAGAGCCTGGGGTCACGGCGCTCCTGCCTGCTCATGCTCTCTCGCTCATTAATCATTGCCAGCTGAGACCAATCAGGTCCTCGCTACGCTGGCAAGAAGAGTTACATCAGCTGAGAGGAAGAGGCTCAGAACGGAGGGCCTCACACAAAGCCAAATGTCCTGGGACAAAAGTCCTTTTTCTATATGTGTGTCTCGTACCTGCACGGACTCAGAGAGGAAGCCATTTGCAATAAACACATTCTGCTGACTCCATAGATCACTGTGTTTGTTTGTATGCTGACAGTGAAGCATCACATTCACCCTTAACCCACAGCTATTCTGAGACACATGCATGTACACTTTGGTCAGATTGCCCTTTAGTGGGAAGCATCTGTAATTAACAGCCATTTTTGCTGTGGGCTAGCTCGTTAGCTGGTAGCGTATGTGAAGGTGTCAGGCTGCAATCTGTCGTGAGCTTTAATGAGGATCCTCCTGCAACCGGAACTAACTGAGAAGTGAGATACTGAGCTCCACTCAGGGGGCGAGTCAGCATGTTTGTTTCATACAGAGAGGACAGCAGCATGCGTGCTTTTTGATCAATTCATTGCTTCAATTTGCAGACTTGGTCACTGCTTCATCTCTCGTTCCTGCACTGTGATGCACACTTTAGCTGCTGCACATCATGTGCCTGAAAGTAGGGTTGTCACGATTCCAGAATTTTAACCTTCAATATGAAATCAGTAAAAATCAATTGATATCGACACCGGTTTGTTTAGATGCTGCAGCAACAAAAACAAAAAAAATCTAATATTGGGTCGTTCATTTTTATTTTATTCTCATTTAACCAGGTTGGTCCCACTGAGATTAAAAACCTATTTTTCAAGGGAGACCGGGCCAAGACAGGCAGCAGCAAAAACACAAAGTAGAATTTACAAAGCACTAAATTTTGGATTAAAATAGAACCATCTATGAGTCATCACCAAACATTGCATGCAAACTCCTGCACACGGTTTAAACTACAAAAACACTTTTGATACCGAAACGTGTTTATTGCAATTCAGACAATGTCACCTCCTCTGCTAGTGAGAGGTATAAAGGTAACTTTTGCATCTTCATGTGATGCCAACAAGTTCTGAGAAACGTCAGAATCTTCCACCCTGAGAGTTCAGTAGACCGCTGCTCTCTTTCTCTTGTGATGGTTTTTGGTTGAACTATGGCTGAAAATCTGTGTTTTTGAGTACGGTATTTTTGATACCGTTGATCATTAATCAACTTCAATTGAATCGTTTTAAAACCTGTTGTGTCAAATAATTGATAAAGTATATATCATTTTGACAACCTTATCTGATTGTACTGTAGCTGAAACATTAATGAATAGTGGCTAAAAACAGTCATTTTTTTATGTCCCTGTGTCAGCCACAGAGGTGCCTTTTGTGAAAATCTAAATATGGAATATTTACCCACAGAAACGTGTTTTTTTTGTAGCTGCTGCAAAATAAATTTGATTCATTTTGTGAAGCATTTAATGTCAGATTTAAAACGCCAAAGAACTTCATAAATTTAGACTGAAGAGAGAATAAAAACCTGAATCAAAGGGCAGCATGAACTCAGCAGAGAGTGTGCCATGTTGGAGGGAGAGGCTGAACCACGCCCCGCGCTCGTCTTTCCTTCCATATTCATTTCCGGAAGTAAATCATTTTTGTAATCCTAATCTGAATGTTGTGACAGATTAAGAGAGAGAGAGAGAGAGAGAGAGAGAAGGCAGGAGAGCGAGGACGCAGCCTCTCTAATCTCCTACAAATTCCCAAATGTTGCTTAACAAAGTCTTACTTTCCTCTTGTCCATTGTGTTTTTATTTTATGAAGAGTATTGTGCAATGAACTCAGGTTAAATTCAAGCATCGTTACACCTGTATATCTTTTCTCTGTTTGGTTGATTGTCTGATTGCATGGATGTACAAAGAGATTATGCAGAGTGTGCCGTGTGGGAATGGGGGAGGGAGTCAAATCCACATGCATAATATAGAAATATAAGCACATGATGAGACGAGGAGTTTGTGCAGCGCTGCAGATAAACAGGCCAACAGATAGATACTGACAGAATATGGTGTAAAAGTTGGAGTAAATTATTTATCCCCCCCAAAAAAATGCATCAATAATTAACCAGTGTCAGAGTCGGACTTGTCTTGTGTTAGCGTGCGTGAATAAGTTATCCTGAATTTTGAGTGTGCAGAGAGCCGGCCGCCCAGGAGAGACGGATTGTCTCCAAGTGTTCATCTCGGTAAACCTTTGATTTCTGAGCTCTAATGTTATTCAGCTTTTTAAGAATTCAACCATCCTCATCACATGGAACAAATCGTTGTGGTGATTGTGCATAATTCTTCAGCTCACTGACTAACTAGATCAGCCTGATGGGAGGAGAGCGCTACACTGTAAAAACACACTCAGGTTCAAGAGAAATACTGTGAAGGTGTGGCACTGCGTCTGGTTCAATCTGAGAATAAAACATGTCTGCAGAAAGCGTGATCTGTCAGCTGTGTGTGTGTGTGTGTGTGTGTGTGTGTGAGAGAGAGAGAGAGAGAGAGGAGGGAGGGTGTGTTGTTAAGAGCATGGAGGTTAGAATACACAGATGGCCGCTCTCCTGACTTCTCTGTTTGACTCCTGTGGAAAAAAATACCACTTGCCATTTTTTTTTTAAAAAGGAGTCTTGCAATAAGAGTAACAGTCTTCGGGAAATGATTGTGTGTCTATTAAGACAAACTGGTTATTAATTAAAGGATTTAAATGAAGCGCAACAGTTCCTTCGTTAAAAAAAAAACCCTAGACTAAAGCTTAAAACATGCATGAAGGGATGGATGTATTTTTGGAAATAAAACTTCAAATATTGACGCATCTTAATGCATTTTGCAATTCAGGGAATTGTAAACCTTCAGAGGTTTTTCAAAATGTCCCTTTCAGATCTCAAACATTAATATGTCAGTACAAACTGACAGGATATGTTCAGACCTAAAGGAAAACATATTTCTGTTATCTGGGCGTGATTGACCTGACAGTGAAGCGCACACACACGTCTGTCGAGTCAGTTACACGTCGTGATAAAATCAGGTACCATTTGGTCTCAGAGAGTGGACATCTTGAACAGACCGTTATGGCAGCAGGTCCCAGGCGTCGTGAAGAAGCGGACACCGGGGGAATGTGCTCCTCTGCTAGTGACAGCTGCTTCCACCTGCTGGGACACGCTGAGTCAGACATGAACGCAACATGGTGCATATAGAGGTGTGTCTGTGTATGTGAAGAGATGAAGAGTCTATGACGAATCGATCGCTGCAGTAAAAAAACACATCAGAGAAATAATGTCTAATTTCAGCCGAAAGTGTAACTGGAGCCAGAAGCCACGCCCCCTAATTCTACATCCCTTTAAACCTTAAAATAATGTAAACAGGTGAGTTGTATAAACATTCAGCCTGTACAGTTAAAGAGAGAAATGACATCTAGAGACTCAAACTGTTTTTGTACCAGGATGTAAACATGTTTATTTTAACATAGAGCTCTATGGAGACTGACTCACTGCAGGAGACAGACTCTAGTGGACACTGGAGGAACTGCAGCTGTAAAGTTAGACATTTTAACATAGAGCTCTATGGAGACTGACTCACTGCAGGAGACAGACTCTAGTGGACACTAAGGGTTTGTCATTTTTGGCACTTTTGAGTTGGCTTCATTTCTCAGGCCTGGAGGTTGCTGCTGATCCATGACCACAACCACAAAATATGCAGTGTGTTTTAACAACCACTCAAAAGTATTGTTTTCTGTTTCTACATCATGTTGAAATGTTTCTCACATATTCTTAATAATCAATTCCCTAAAGTTTTAGATGCTATTGGAAGCCAATGGTTCCACATTACTTTCTTTACCTCGACGCTCTCTGTCTTTGTCTCCAGGCTGATCGACAAGCGACAGGCAAATGGAGAAACCATCGAGTTATCGGCAGAGGGCCGTCCTGAGCTGGTGGAGGAGAAGGAGATGCCGGTGGTGGACTGCACCTGCTTCGGCCTGCCGAGGCGGTACATCATCGCCATCCTGTCCGGCCTGGGGTTCTGTATCTCTTTTGGCATCCGGTGCAACCTGGGTGTGGCCATCGTGAGCATGGTAAACGACCACACGGTCTACAGAGGCAACAAGGAAGTGCTTGTGGTAAGTGAAGCTTTATCAGTCTGTCTGAGACGAATATGCAGGAAACACTGAAAAATAAACTCAGGATTATCTACAGAAAGTAAACAGGAAACAGAAACAGGAGGATACAAATGACAAAATAAAACTAAACAACAACAACAAGGAATAAACAAACAAAACAGAGGAAATCATAACACATGAGTGCACATATTTAGTTTGACTCCTGTGAGGAGAGTTCATATTCTGGGCTGATTTTTTTGCCATATTTATTTCTTATTTTTTGGAAAAATATAACAACAAAAAACAAGCAACCCACATAAAAAAAAACCCTCACACACAAACACCCAAAACAAAACAGACCAAAACAAAAAAGTGACACGCTGGGCTGATTTTAGCGCCCCCTGTGGACAAAACAGGACCAATTATCTCTGGCTGATTTTGTCCTGTAGACAAATATGATGTTTTCCAACAACAACAAAAAAAGATCCTGCTTTGTTTAAAATGTCTAGCAGATGGTTGGTATGAACATTTTTTTTAAAGGCGTCTCGTTTGACACCTAATCCTCCGCAGTGATTTCAGGCAATAACAATAAAAATAAAGAAATAGTCAATCTTGTCACTGATGGTCTAGTTTGATTTTGTAGGTCATATTAAAGGTGTCAATATATATTTATTTAAGGAGCATACAATCACTTGCTAAAAACACCTCAAAGGAGTTTAAAATGAATACTCTAAGTCTGTGAGCATGTTAAGTTTAGATGACTTATCGTCTTTGTGTTACAATATGTTGTCCTTTCTGCAGGCAGCACAGTTCACCTGGGACCCCGAGACAGTGGGGATGATCCACGGCTCCTTCTTCTGGGGTTACATCGTCACACAGATCCCAGGCGGCTTTATATGTCAAAAATTTGCAGCCAACAGGTGACGCTCAAAACTTAAAAATATTCTTCCACAACACAGGTGTCTCGTTCGTTTGTGTCTTCATGTCGCTCTTGTTCTGTTGTTGCTGTAAAATCGTTTCCAATCTGAGGCTCCTTGTTTGTTTGCTTTTGTTTTTAAGAGTTTTTGGCTTTGCCATAGTGGCCACATCCACCCTCAACATGCTGATCCCGTCTGCTGCTCGCTGCCACTACAGCTGCGTCATACTGGTCAGGATATGCCAGGGCCTTGTTGAGGTACAGTGCATGTTTGTTTCCACATGAACCTGCAGGAATTTCCTACATGAAAGTTTCCCTGACTGTATTCTGTCCTTCAGGGTGTATCGTACCCAGCCTGCCACGGGATCTGGGCCAAATGGGCGCCTCCTCTGGAGAGGAGTCGATTAGCCACAACAGCCTTTTGTGGTAAAGTTTCACATCATGTGTAATATCTAATCTAATATTCAGTATCTTCAGAGGGATGCAAAGTGGTTAAAAGATGAGAACATTTGTTTTTCAGGCACACGTCATGTTTTTTTTAAGTGCAGAAACTATAAACGATCATGATGGAAAATGAATAATTCATTGCTCTTCTTGATGTTTGATGCCTTCTCAGGATCCTATGCGGGGGCAGTGGTGGCCATGCCTCTAGCTGGGATACTGGTGCAATACACGGGGTGGCCTTCAGTATTTTATGTCTATGGTTAGTATCCCTACTTTCAAATATGTTGCTTACTGCAGGACTAGGAGCCAGTACTAGCCACGAGGATATTAAAACATGTTTTTATCAGTTGTTGTACAGTTGTTTCCATAAACAGTCACAATAATCACATGTGTGTATCGGGTTTTCAAAGTCTCTTAGTGTAAGGTTTTCATCTTAATTTGGGGGTTTAAAAAGAAAGTTTCAGGTTTCAGATTAGCACTTTAGCTTCTTTGTTTCGTATGATCTGTAAAGGGTTTCTTCACAGCCTTCTCTTGCTTTTTATCCACTGTACAAATCTCTGTTTCTGGTTTCCATCTCGTCCTCTCCCAGGCAGCTTTGGGATATTCTGGTACTTGTTTTGGATCCTGGTGTCTTATGAGAGTCCCGCAGCCCATCCCACGATCACACCAGAGGAGAGAAAGTACATTGAAGATGCGATCGGAGAATCTGCAGGGTTTCTAAATCCTCTCCAAGTACGACACTTTTTTTTTGTTTTTCATGTGCAACCGATCAAACTAACACTGAAAAGGCTCTCACACAAACACATAGACAGACCATCTCCGTGAAGACAGGGGACCCCAGTAATATTTCTTGTTGCTTTTGGCTGCAGAAATTTAAAACTCCATGGAAACACTTCTTCACCTCCATGCCGGTCTACGCCATCATCGTGGCCAACTTCTGCAGGAGCTGGACCTTCTACCTGCTGCTCATCAGCCAGCCGGCATACTTTGAGGAAGTCTTTGGATTTGAGATCAGCAAGGTGAGATTGCATCTCCACTTTTAACTCAACTTTCTTAAAGCTACAGTCACTCAAAGAAGGCAGAAGGCAGTGCTCTGTCTACAAAACCCCCCAATGATGAGAAAAGTCCATCCTCTCCGTCTTTTACCTGCTCCACTTTTCAGAAAATGTGTGCTCAAACAGGCCGTTTGGAGATTTTTCCTTCGTGACATCACAAAGGGCAGTAACTCCTCCCCTAGGTGGGTGACACTCCCACAGCTAGGTGTTTGTTCTGCCCTCTGAGTCTGCCTTCTCACCGTAAACAATAGGACATGGAGCGAGAAAGACCGAGACCACCCGAGCAGTGCAGTATGCAGCATGCTCCTGGTACTCCTGTCATAAAGAACACGTACCATGCCTCTCTTCCTCTCTCAGGTGGGGATGGTGTCAGCTTTGCCTCACCTGGTGATGACCATCATCGTGCCTATCGGGGGCCAGTTGGCTGACTATCTGAGGACCCATAACCTGATGAGCACCACCAACGTCAGGAAAATGATGAACTGTGGAGGTGAGACGGAAGCATGATGGCTGGAGGAAACTGGAAACAGAAAGAGGAAAACACTTAGAGAGGAAGTGAGAGTCATATAAAAGGAAGAACAGGAGTTTACAGAAAACATCTCGGAGTGCAAAAGAAAATTAGATAAATATAGAAAAAGATTTGACCACCATAGCGGGTAATCAAGTGACCTGATTATCCTGCTAAGTCCAGATAAGTTATTTGCTAAACCAAAGAAAATGATTCTATACAAAATTCCAAAAACTGATGATAACGATGATGGTAATCAGAAACTATTCAAACTCTCTGACCCTCTTTGTCGGTCAAATAAGGTAGAGCCACGGCCACTGCAAATGACCGGAAACAAAACACAAAAAATAATCAACAGAGTTAGAAAATACACGTTATGGCACCTACACTCGCTCGCTGTTTTTAGATGATTTTCTTGTTCTTTCAGGTTTCGGGATGGAGGCCACGCTCCTGCTGGTGGTGGGATACTCGCACTCTAAAGGCATGGCCATTTCCTTCCTGGTCCTCGCTGTGGGCTTCAGTGGGTTCGCTATCTCAGGTAGAAGATGAGACCTGAGTAAATCAGATTTTTTTGGTTTGAAGTTCTCGGAGAGAGATCGTCCAGTTTTATATTTTACACAGAACTCAAAGAAAAAAGTGATGTGCTGAGAATTATTTGTTGACCCTGTTTAAAAGCAATATTTGGAGTAGTGCGCTCGCTCACTTTCTCATGATATCTGTACGATCAATCTTAGACTACAGACGGAGGATTGTTAACTTAGCTTTGAAACTGAGAGAAACCTGGAGCATGGCTTCATGCAGCACTCCAAACATCACTAATTGAGACGTTAGAACTTTTATTTCAACTGGGATTACTTGCAAGACAACGAGGGAAACTTCAGGAGGTCAGGAAGGATGAATTGACTGAGCTAGCTGTTTCCAGTCTTAGTCAAACTAAGCTAAGCTAACTAGCTTCAGGCTACATAGTTACAGTGCAGAGAGCAGCGAGAGGAGAGTGTTGACAAGCATATCGGCAAAATCTTGACGTTGATGTAAGTCAGCAAAATGTCATCTAATCCTGGAGCACTCATAAGTACGGAAGCCCAAAGCAGACATGCATCATACTTTAATTTACTCCGCTTTCCTGTGGCAACAAATCGTTTAGAATCATGTCTTGTATCCCCAATTTTTTTAAAAGCACAAACAAAAATTACCTTACATCCTAAGTGTGGCAGCTTGGCATGTTGTGGTCTGGTCCGTCACAGTGAGCCGCATACTGTTTGGTTTTCTAGACTGTGAGAAAAAAAAAAGAGAGTAAATCAAATGTAAGGATGCATGTCCTCTTAGGGCTTCCGTAGATAAGGACTAAGTTTGCATCATGATGATTTCAACTTCCTTGAGCATGTTTTCCTTCATATTGTTGTTGTGAGAAATCAGCACACTTTTTGTTTTTTGGAAGTTCTGCTGTTCACTGATTTTTGTTTTTTGTCAATCAGGGTTTAATGTCAACCACTTGGATATCGCCCCTCGATACGCCAGCATCCTGATGGGCATCTCAAACGGGGTGGGGACGTTATCTGGAATGGTTTGTCCCCTCATAGTGGGAGCCATGACCAAACACAAGGTTGAAAAATAAATAAAAAAACAGTCTATAAATAAAAATGTACAAAATTAAAACACCTGTGAAACTCGCTGGCTGATACTTCATGACCTCTTTGTTTCATTTCAGACACGTGAGGAGTGGCAGGGCGTCTTCCTCATAGCGTCTGTCGTTCATTACGGAGGAGTCATTTTTTATGGTACGATGACCTGAAGCTTTTCTGAGAGTCTAAACTCGGGTTCTCAAGATACCAGAATTTTAAACTATGATAAGATACAAGTAAAAAGCAAAGGTTATTGATTCCTGTTCCGATACCACGGCAACAAAAATAGAAGTTGGGGTAATTTCTTGTTGTCAATTAACACAGATTGCAGGTAAACTTCTGCACATTGTCTTAATTGCACAAATTGAATGTATTTGTGCTCTTCAGACAGTTTGCAGGAGGATTTTAGATGGACTGATTCGTCCTGCTCTCTCTTTCTCTTGCAGCAGTTTTTGTTTAAAAATATGAATGAAGATCTGGAGGTTTTTTACACTAAGTCTAAACACTGATCTCCTCCTCACCAGGACTCTTTGCGTCAGGAGAGAAGCAGCCGTGGGCCGACATAGAGGACACCAGCGAGGAGAAGTGCGGCATCATCGACGAGGACGAGCTGGCCAATGAGACAGAGGAGATCTACCGCGGTGGCGGACAGTACGGGGCCATGAGCCAACCGGTTGTCGGCTCAAACGGAGGAGGAGGTGCAGGAGGAGGCGGAGGAGGAGGAGGAGGAGGAGGAGGAGGAGGGGCCGGCGCTGGATGGGTGTCGGACTGGGATAAGTCTGAGGAGTACGTTCAACCACCTGGATACAACTCCTACATGTACGGAGGAGGAGAGGAGAGGGAGCTGACATAGAAAACTGACGTGACACTAGTTTATAAAAAACAAGATAACATAAGAAGGAAGATTGTTTTATGGAGAGGGATTGTAAGAGAGCTCCTGCTGTACTCAACGGACCTGCTGTGTGCTTCTGTACAAATCTTTACAGTCGCACATATCAAAAGTTTGGATCTGATTCATTCCTGTCTATGTGTGTGTGTGTGTGTTGGTATATGTGTGTGTGTTTGTGTATGTGGGGTGTGCGTGTGTGTAGGCATGTGCATGCATGAGTCGGAGTTCTTCATGAACACAAACACATTCAGTATTCATCACAAAAAACTGAACTCATTTCCCAGACTTCCTTCCTGCTCTCGAGCTGTTTCCACAACATCACTGAGGAGTGTGTGTGTGTGTGTGTGTGTGTGTGTGTACATTTTGCTTTTACAGCAGCTATTTCAAGCCGCTGGCATTGTGTTGTACTGAAATGTTGAGACTGGGACTTAATTTAGAAACTTTTGAGAAATTGTATTGTTCATCTGATCAAATCAATACGCATATAAAACACAATCATTACCAGACACTGATGATACATGCCACAAAAACACTGTCTGTACAGCCTGTGTGTAGTTTGAGTGTGTTTGCATGTTTTAGTCGACACACAGGTCGACAAGAATCAGTCATGTTTGACATTCTTGTCGACTGCGTTTAAACTACTGAAAGAGGAAAAAGGTGCTTGAGACTGTAAAGCTTTACAGGCTCACCTTTGTGTGTGTGTGTGTGTGTGTGTGTGTGTGTGTGTGTGTGTGTGTGTGTGTGTGTGTGTGTGTGTGTGTGTGTGTGTGTGTGTGTGTGTGTGTGTGTGTGTGTGTGTGTGTGTGTGCGCACAGCTGCATGAATCTCACCTGGGCCTGACCTAACTGGGTCACGTCCAGCTTGGCTCATGGGCTACATGAGTATTCATCAGATAATCGTGACTTTCCGTTTGGTGTGCGCGCTCCCATTAGAGAGGTCGCCCAGAATGAAGAGCAGAGTGGGATGGTTGCTTTGCGGTTTCACTGCTTAACCAGCGAGGAACGACGGTATTCCCGAGCGTCACGGCTCGTGCTGCGTCTGTTTCTGCCTTTCTGTGTCTCAGTGGCTTCCTCTCCCTCGGTATCTAACCCCCCCACGCTCTCCCTCTTCTTCTCTCTGTTGATGCTGTTTTCTTGTCTTTAGTAATGTCAGACATGTTTGAGTTGGTGGGTCAGAGCCTCTCAGATGTCTATGTGTGTTTGTGTGTGCGTGTGTGTGACAGTGAGTGTGTTGTTGTGTTGGGTGCAGGTGCTGAAACATTGTGCGGTGAGCATGCTTTAATGAGCGGGGCCGTCCCTCTCCTCACATACACACCTCATTTGATGCAGCGCAGTCAGCTGCAGCATGCACAGTGATCAGAGGGAGCGGTGGTGGCTCAGAGATTTGGTATTATCGCTGCTGTCTGTGTGAAACACACACACGGAAACAATTTGGAAGAGTCTGAAATTATTTGTCATCAAAAGGCTTTGCAACAATCGGCCAATCACATCAGCTCCTCTCGCACCCTGTAAGAGCAGCACCCTCCTCCCTGATGCTCTGACAGCTGGCTAACAAGTCCAGAGGTGCAAAGTATTTGTCTACAATTTAAAATACACCTGGGGTGGCCGATCAGATTTGGAGGGGGGCCCCCAATGCCACCTCTGGACCCCGCTCTGGACCCAGAGGCTCTGGACACGCCCCTGGAGCAAACTAACATACAACAAACAAAATGAGCACTCACACACACACACACAGATTCTGCATTCTGCTCGATACCGGCTCACCAGCAGTGAAGATTTTTATGATTTCAAATCTGAACGTTCATCTGCAGACCGCTCTCTTTCTGATCACTAAATTATAAAATGAATCAGTTTCTCTTTGTGTTACAGACGGTTGATGATTTGAGCTCAGTGTTTGAGTAACATTTTCTGGAATGTTGAAAATAAATCATTTAGTCTCAAATGAGGGTTTGATGGCGAGCGGCGTTGGTATATCCATAAATCATTTACAAAAGTTTTAAAGGAACATTACTTTGTTTTCTGAGTGCAATGTCGTGAAGACATGAATGATTTTATTCCTGTGAACGATTTCATTTTTTTAAGTGTCGTATCGGTGTGTGTTTTTAATCAAGTTTCTCTTTGTCTCAGTTAATGGCTGTTCCGATGTTGTCCTCCTCCTCCTTCTTCTTCTTGATGATGATGAAACGTGTGCTGGGAATCAGAGTAAAAAAAAAAAAATCTCTGAATGATAAAACTGTTAAAAAGTATTCTATGTAAAAAAAACCAAAAAACAATGTATATGTGAGATATCCTTGTGTATAATAAAATTTAAGCAATTTATAATGATGTCACTATTTCAGCCCATTCATGTCTTCAGGGTTTATCAGCTGCAGCATGATGATGATGATGATGATGATGATGATGCAGTGAATCAGTGTGGATTTTTTATTTTACATCATTTCTGCACAATGTTACTTCTCTGTCTTTCTCTCGGGACAGATGGATGCAGGATTATCTCCGTGATTTTAGGCAAAGATTAGATGGGAGAGCAGATGCACTCAGTGGGATAGTGTGTGTGTGTGTGTGTGTGTGTGTGTGTGTGTGTGTGTGTGTGTGGGGGGGGGGGGGTGGACGTCACAGAGAAGGGGAGTAAAGATGACGGTGCAGAGGGTGGAGCATGGTGTGCGTGTTTAACTGTAGTGAAACTAGAAGTAAAGCAACAATATGTTAGCCAACAGGATCGATCATGTTAAAGAAAGTGCATTTAATTTAAGTTATTTCGAGATTCTTATAAAAATCATATTTTATTATCTATATTGTTGATATAGATAATAATGTTGTAGGTGGAGCCGAGAAGACTCTTTATGTAGTTAAACGAAATAATCGTGTCATATTTTCTGTCACTGCCGGTCGAAAAGCTTCAAAGTTGGTCTGTATTTTTAGAATTCATCGTTTAAATGAGTTGCTGTTTGACACTACCGGAAGTGATAGCATTATCATCTGCTAATTGACGCTACCTTGATGGATTCAATGTGGTGTTGCAGTTTTACCTTGTGACCACAAGATGGCAGCAAACACACTGAAAAGCCAACTTAACTTCTTACCAAAGAAATTTATCTTTATCTCAAAATTCTTCGATACTTTTAGCTAATAACTCGTTCATTTTTGTTCGTAATTTAGTGACAGACAGGTAGCATAATTAGTTCATATTATTTAAAAATACATTTTAGCTAAAAAGAAATAGTTAGCAGAACTAAATTTTAAGGATTTTATTTTACATAGTTACCTCTCATAGGTAAACTAAAAAAGTATCTTCAACGAAATAATAAGTAACTTAAAAATAAATTATAAATCGCTTCAAACCTCACACAGTTGTTAAATATAGTGTTGCAGTACCTCACTGTGGCCACTGGGGGGCAGTGATGTTTCTTTGTTACAGGAATCTGTCGCTGTAGTTTTTAATGTTGGTGTGTTATCATTGACTGTAAATAATAATCTTATATCAGTCTGTGGTGTGTATCCATTCAGACTGTAAATATTGAGGTGTTTTATCATGATGTTGACGCTCATGTGTTCTTTCAATGTTAATACTCTGAAGCTTTCTGGCAGGATGTTCATGACTGGTGTTACCCCAAAATTGTCCAGCTGGAACAAATCTCTGTAAAGGACATTTATTTTCTAGTCAACAATATCTTTGTGCCTGGGGAATCACATTTACAACAATTCAAGTAGTCAAAAGTACAACTCAGATTTTTCTTCCATGTCTTATGTAGCCTACATAAAGGCCATTCAAGTTATAAAAACTGGTAATTCAACAAAGCTTGTCAGTGTTGTAGAAGAATATAACTTACAAACAAAACCCTTAGTTGTTTATTTTATATATTTTAATATTTTTCTCATTGTCTTGCATTTGTACCTGGGCCCTTATATGTCTGGATGATGCCCCACCTAGCGTCAAACCACACACACTACAACACTGTCACTTCCGCTTGCACTTTTCAAAACAAAACTATCAGAAAACGCCGGCGTAGCTCATTGAGTAAGAGATAATTAAATGCATTTGCGTTGGTTGCTATCGTGTATGAAATGTAGAATTTTATAGAATTTTATATATATATATTTTTTTTTTAAGCGATTAAATGATGTTTACGTGAGTAATGATGAATGTTGGATTAAGGTGGAGTTGAAGACACCAGAAAGAAGTTTGTCTGACAGGTCACGCCCAAGTAGGGCTACTCCTTTTTCTTATTGGACAGAATTGCTATGTCTGGGAGGGTTTTACACTAAAAGCTGCACTGTGATTGGTCTGCTGAAACGTCTATCTAAATGCAGCCGTGTGATTGGTTGCCTGAAGAGGGGATTAACGTGAAAACGCTCTACTTTCAATGGAGACTTGTTAGGAACTCACGAATTCCGGCTTTTTCTTTATAAAGAACAATAACTAAGTTATTTTTTTTAACCCGCAGAGTTATCGTTTATAGTTTGTCGCGTAATTCATCTCGTAAAAAGAAGTTTCGTACAGATCCTGAAGTTTGTCCACAAGTGGTTTTGAATGAGGAAATCGTCCCAAGCTAACGTTATGTAGCAAGCTAATCTCATATCTGTTAAACCATCGTTAACAAGTTCTAAATCCTACACAGAGGTGAGTCACTTCAAACCTTTACTACAACGAAACGCGATTTACTTCTAAATCAGGAACACTTGGCGTAAAGTAGTGACGATAGAGAAGTCAGCGGGTTGGATCCTGAAGAGTGTGTGTGTGTGTGTGTGTGTGTGTGTGTGTGTGTGTGTGTGTGTGTGTGTGTGTGTGTGTGTGTGTGTGTGTGTGTGTGTGTGTGTGTGTGTGTGTGTGTGTGTGTGTGTGTGTGTGTGTGTGTGTGTGTGTGTGTGTGTGTGTGTCCGTGCGTGCGCGCGTGGGGAGGAAGAGGCCGATGGTTATGTGATCTGGATTAGATTTGTTGTCTGTCTCAAAGTGTTACCTGTTGACTCTGTTTGCAGGTATGACCGAGTACAAGCTGGTGGTGGTCGGGGCAGGAGGCGTGGGGAAGAGTGCTCTCACCATCCAGCTCATCCAGAATCACTTTGTAGACGAGTATGATCCAACCATCGAGGTGAGACACACACACACACACACACACACACACACACACACACACACACGACCCTGCTTGTAGACACACCATGTGACTCTCACATGTGGTTAAAACCAGGTTGACTCATTAGTCGATACTGAACAATTAAATCAGTGATGGACAAAGTACACAACTTGATTTCTTGAGTCGAAGTAGAGATGCTCCTGGTCCAATATGACTCCAACACGAGTGTAAAGGAAACTCTTGATCTTCAGCCGCTACACAAATGGAGGTCGGTGCTCTCAGAGAAGGACCTCAGGTGTTGAAAATATATCTCATGGGACTCTTTCTCTCAGACAGAATCCAAAGAAAGGACCGGAGCACACGAGTCATAAATTGACCTTAAAGATGCTGAAGTGATGTTTATGTCTCTAACAGCGCTGAGTACAGGCTGCTCATTAAAGGAAAGTCAATACTTTGAGTTTGGATTTCATAAAAGACAGGTGTGGAGGAGAGAATGAGTCTATTAAAAACATCGCAGGCAAACTCATGGCACATTCTGAATTGCACAAATTGAAATGTTGCAGCAGGTGTAATCGTGCTTTTTACACGGCGTGCAGGAGTTCACCTGCAAGCTGTGATCTGCACAACATCGGGTGCTTTAGGAGTTCTATTCTTGTTGCCGTGGAATCGAAACGGTCATCGACACGGTTTTATTTTTTTAAGAGTATTATATCAAAGTTTAAAATCTTGTTACCGTGACAACCCTAGGTTAAATAATTCAGCTCCTTCCCTCACTTTTTTTTCCAAATCATAAAGGGGAAGAAGAAAAAAAATTGTTTGCATGCAATTCATTGTTCTTTTTAAGAAGTCAATAACCGACCATAACCTCGCTCCTCTGGACCTCTCTGAACTCCTGCACCTCAAAACCCCCCCGCCTGTCCACCATGGGGTCCAGGGCCTTCAGCTGCTCTCCCTCCCACCACACATCCATAACATCGACTCTCCCTCCATTTTTTAAATCTCATCTCAAAACACATCTTTTCAAACGGGCGTATTCAGTCTGATCTCCATCCGGTCTCATGAATCCTCTTCACAATGATAGTTGCATAACAGATTGTCTCTGTTGCACAAACACATTGGCAACACTAAGTACCAGGATGTTGCCAACGCATTTTTTGCACAACCTACTATCACTAACTTGACATGTGAAGGTGAGAGTATTTTATTGTTGTCATGATTCTAGATTGTTTTAATCGTTAAAATCAAAACATATCAAAGTGTGTTTCAGAAGCTTCTTTAGATTTCTTCTTCTGCAAAATGAAGATGAACACGCTGTAACTTAAATGCATCATCACAAAGCGGCTCCATAACAAACACTGAGACCTGCTCAAACTAATCCATCTGTACGCCTTCATGCCAGAGTCCTCTTAGCGTTTGTTTGAAGTCAGTAAAACCCGCCAGAAAGCCGCTAAAGCAAACAGCTCTCCTGTAAACCCTCGTTAGTTTCTAATTAAGTGCCACAAACGAGTTTAAAACATCAGCTCTGCTCGGCCTGCTGTGTAATCTCTCTTGTTACACAAGTCAGGTGTAAATCTGTCTTCAGTTTCCTGCAGACGCTCGACGCTGTGAGTCAGCTCGCCGTGTTACTCAAAAGTGGAGGTTGTGAAATATTCAAGTTGATTAGACGTCCTTCCAGCGGGACGTGTTGCGACATGACGCAGCAGAGTGACAGTCATGGAATGAACGTGACGCAACCTCTGCTGCGTTTCAGGACTCGTACAGAAAGCAGGTGGTGATCGATGGAGAGACCTGTCTGCTGGACATCCTGGACACTGCGGGTCAGGAGGAGTACAGCGCCATGCGGGACCAGTACATGAGGACGGGGGAGGGCTTCCTCTGCGTGTTTGCCATCAACAACACCAAGTCGTTTGAGGACGTTCACCTGTACAGGTACACAGAGCTACCTTTTAATAGAATATGTGTTTGTCTGCACTCCTGAGAATATTACCCATACTGCCCCTGAAACCTCCTGGAGGTGCTTGTTCACACATGCACCTCACACCTGTCAGACAGGGGGCGGAGTCTCAGGTGGCAAGAAGTTACTGAACGACACAGACGGAGTAACAAAGTCTGATGCTAAAAAGACAATTTTTACTTTATAATTTCTACTTGGAGTTTGAAATATTTAGTTTAATTAACGTGCACAGAGATCGAGTCGGTCTCGTGCAGACAGTTTTTGGTCCGACCCCGATCACAGGATGTAAACGTCACCACCCCTCCTCGTGGTGAATATTCCTGCTGCGTTCTCACACCAGCTCACTCTGACTGCATGTGGAACATTTATAAGAACGCTGGCATTAACCCTCGTGCATCACTATGGAGATTTTTGTCCATTTGGTCAAATTTGACCTCTTCATCTGGCCATCATTTGTGTTTTTTTTCTTAAATTACAACAGTGACATCAAGTAATCAAACTGGCATTTAAAGGGTTAAATTCCTAAAAAATTATTGAATGTTTGGTAGTTTTGAGCAGGGCTGAAGTTGTTTAAGAGATGTATGCAGAAAAAAGTAGAAAAAATATCAATCTGTTCTATTTTTATAGCAGATTTTTGGAAGTGGACATTTTTGTTCTTAGTGACTTAAGAGGGTCGTACATGAAACTGATGCCTGAGGGTTAAAACTTCTGGGTGGAGTCTGAGTGAATGACGTGTCCATTTGCGTTCACACATGCTCAGCTCTCCTGGAGGGTTTTCCGTTTTTTTAGTGAATGCGTGAAAGCAGCATCAGTAACAGCTGCTTCCTGATTGGTAGTTTATGTCTGAGCATCTGAGCGAGGTCAGTTTGTTTGAAAAGTAAAAAAAATTTTGAACTGATCAAACAACATGAAGCTAAACTGATTAGTTTAACAAGCACTTACAGAAAGCAATAGTGAATGTGTGTTGAGTATCACTTCCTCTCCCCCGAACCCGCTGGTCACTTATCTGAATGTTGACGTAGATCACTGATTGTTAGGTCAGTCACTCAGAAGCTGCTGCTTGTGTTTGCTCCTCAGAGAGCAGATCAACCGGGTGAAGGACAGCGACAGCGTTCCCATGGTGCTGGTGGGGAATAAGAGCGACCTCGGTACTCGCACGGTGGAGACGCGGCAGGCCCAGGAGCTGGCACGAAGCTACGGAGTGCCGTTTGTCGAGACCTCTGCCAAAACCAGACAGGTCGGTAGAAAGAAGACAAGCCGAGCCTGTATTTGGTTATCAGGGAGGCGTGCGAAGTAAAACATCTGCAAACGCAAAATCTGAGATCGGATTTGAAGAGAAACCAAAAATGTGAAGATTGCTCATTTAAAATCGAATGTTTTGATTTTCTGCTGCAGGGGGTGGAGGAGGCGTTCTATTCGCTCGTACGGGAGATCAGAAGATATAAAGAGACCAACCGCAGCAACAAGAAGAGCAAGAAGAACACTCAGAGACGCTGCAATATACTATAGCAAACCACACACACACACACACACACACACAGCATCTTTTACAGCACTTGTCTCATTCCCTCCCTCACTCTCTGCACCTCCTCCTCCTCCTCCTGCGTCGCGTTGGAGGCGTCCAGCACTGATCTCCACGGGGCGGAGGAAGACGAGGAAGAATCTGTTTTTACTGCTGTCACAGTGTGCAGAGATTCAGGGTCGTCTCAACACCAGAATATTAAACTCAGACCCCAGTTCAGTACCCGTTTTGATACCACAGAAGCAAAAAATAGAAGTCCCAGTCCCCTGACATAGAGGTTCATATCTTTTTTCTTTTTTAAATCAATGAAAGAAATGCACAAATACATTGCCAACATATTTGTGCAACTCGTCTGTCTTTGCATCGCTGCAGCTTCTGGTTTAAAATCTGACTGAAGCTCTGAAGGTTTCTTAAAGGCCCTGACACACCGAGGAGATTGTCGTCCGTCTGTCCTAGTTGGACCGTTGGTGAGCGGTCGTCGCCCTACTTTTGTGGTGTGTCCGGCCCCCGTCTGCCTTTTTATTTTTATTTTATTTTTTAGCTGATTCGACATGTTGAATCGTTCTGTGAGAGGAATCTCTCTGATTGGCTGTCCTGAGGTTTCATTTCTCTCCAGCTCTCCTCTCAGGTTCAGGAAAGCCCCTTGAGCATGTCGCTGTAGTATCCATGCTTTCACCCATTAGTGTGGTTTCTCCTTATTTGTCTCCTCCGCCTCTTCTTTTCTTTTTACACTAAAAGACCAAGGGCTGACAACGGCAGCGCCATTTTCAACTTTTTATCAGACATTAATCTCCATTAGTAGACTTCCTATAATATGAGTGGTGAGCGACAGCGGTGTGAAAATGGTCTTCTCGTATCATAACAGACTACCGCCCCCTGCTGGCATGGAGGGTTATTTCCTCTTGTGCAGAACGTACGTGGTGGTTGGCCATCAGCTGTAGTCTTTGTGGTGTGTTCAAGTGCAACTTTTTGGCCAGGACAAAAGCGAGGGTGAAACTCTGGATTAAGGCTCCTCCTAGAAATATCAGGAGTTTTCTGCAGGTGTGAAAGCACGATCACAGATGTTAATTTGTCCACTGTGCTGTGTCCATCCACACTGGGAAGTCTGCCATTTTCTTCTTTAATTTTACGACTAAATGACTTGAAACTTCAGTTTATAGTCGATTTTTTTTTGTTGAGCTCTAGTATAAACTAAACTTCAGTAGGTGGTAGAAAGTATTTTTTGTATTTTTCCCTGAATGTAAACGAGATGATTCTCTTCTCCTGTGCTCATTCCTCCAGCCAATGTTTTTTTAACGACTGTTCAGGTCCTGTTAGGGGGTCCGGGGGTCCAGGGCTCACGCTGCGACCCTTTTAGTCCCAAATCTGAAATCACTGTTTTAGTACTCGCCATTTTTTTAAGAGGTGAAACCTGTGATGAGTGAATGTGATTGTTTGGTACATCATGAAAACATTACGATCAAGAAAGATTTTTTTTTTTTTTCTTTTTTTAATACCGGTTACCTGCCGCTCCCCGACAGATAACCGGTTTCTGTACGTTTGGAAAGTGTAGTCTTCCTTGTTTTTTTTTTGTTTTTTTAAAGGTTAGCATGTCGTCTGAGGCTTGAAACACACCAGCTCTGTTTTTTTATTTCTCTCACCACGGCCACAGACGGTGCACTTTATTCACCTCCTGCATTGATTGTAGCGTTCAGCTCGTGCCATGTGGAAAGTGTCGAGCAGGAACTGAGGAGCCGTATCAAACGAGCGGCTGATCTCTGATGTCACTTTGAATTTTTCACAGAATCATTGAAGAGTTTGCTCCACATGTTCTCTGTTTCTCTAATCTCACTTTAACTCTGTTTCGAGCCTCAGTATTGTTTTGTTTTTTCTCCTCCCGTCTGACTGCAGATATCTGAGACAGTCCATACGATGTTTAAAGCACGCTGCTGGACTTTCAGGACATTCAGTAGAGCTTCACTTTTTATAGCAGTGAGTGATTTAGTTAATAACTGTAAGAGATTGTAAAGAAAACATCTATTTTTGTAGCATTAGAGCTCCCAGTTTAAGTGAACATCTGGATTCAGAAACAGATGTTTGTTTATGAAATTCAGGGAGCTCACTGAGTTTGTGTCCTGCTCTCTGAATCAGTGCATGAAGAATTCCTGCTTTCAGCTCCGTGTCTCCGTCCGGACTTCAGAATAATGTTTTAAATGATTTTTAAATGTGGAGAACTTCACCTGACCCCAACGAGTTGTTCCTGACCGCTGTGTCATCTTTGAATCTTCCAAACATTCTGCTGTAACGAACAAGTAAACGTCTTCAGCTCTGACCTCTCGTCTCGTCTGTATTATTAATTTTTTATGTTTACTGATTAAATCAACTTTCAAGGGGAGCGCCTGTAGCCTAGTGGTTAGTTTGTGCGCCCCATGTGCGGAGGTTATAGTCCTCCAAGTGGGCTGCCCAGGTTTAATGCTGCATTCATGTAGTGTCGGACACATCCGAAAAACGAGTTTCCGAGTTTTAAAATGCACACGAACACCTGCTCAAGTGGGAACAACAACTCGGAAACTCTGAATAGAATTAGGTGCCCTCAGTTCAAAATGTTTAGTTTTACTTTTAATTCAATTATTGTGCATCAACTTTTTGCTCAAATCTAACTTTTAACAGAGACATTCACACTTCTTCGAGGCATCAACACTGTTGTGCTGGAGTCGGAAGAACAACTTCCAAACTCGGAAACTTGGACCACCCGAGCAGCACCTGAATGCAGCATGAATCCGACCTGTGGCTCCTTTCCCAAACGTCGTTCCTCTCTCTCTGATTTCTGACTCTATCCACCTCTAAATAATAAAAGGCATAAAAAGCCCCCAAAAATAAATCTGCAAATAAAAAGTTTTAAGAGACCGACAGAAAAGTAAGACCACATTTAAGAAGAATCATTTTAAGATTAAAGTCGGACCTTTAATCTTTACTCTCTTCACAGCCTTGGCGCAGATCACACATGTTCTAATAATCAGTCGTAGAAAATAAATCTGGGACTGTAAGAGAACTTCACTAAAAAAAAAATAATATGTGGAGAGCTTGGTGCATTTCCACCTGATCTGTTTAACCACAAACTATCCAGACATCATCGTTCATGTCTGAAGAAAGGAACAAACAGTCCTTCTCGTTTAAAGGTCATTTTGGTTGAAAGGTTTCAGATCAGTTATGAGGAAGAGATTTGTTCATGAGGTTGGACAATGACACTGAAGTTCCTCTTCTCATGTCTGTCGGTGCCATCAGTCTGACTTTGAGGAGTGTAAACCTGATCCTGTTACATCACTGATGATCACACACGACAGCACCAGAGGAAGGGTTTTTGCTTTTACAGTTTATTTTACAAAAACGTCTACTGTGAATTTACTCAAAATAGAAAACATAGAAATAGTGTGATATTCAAGTCTTTATACAAAGAGAGCGAGCCTTGTGTTTCCTCTCACCAGCCGAAGCGAGACACCAGCTTGCTCTGGTCATCCAGATCTTTCTGAACCTTCTTCCTCATGTAGAAGATGGGACAGTCCCGGCTGCAGACGGGTGAGGACAGGGAGAGTGTGAGTGGATGTAAAGCTGTGTCTTAGTAAACACACAGATGTAGAATAAACATGTGGTGAATATTCACCTGGTACACAGCACGTCCTCGTGGAGGGAGCCTTGACACCGCTGACACTGAGTCCACAGGCGGGAGAAACGCTCCTCCAGCGTGTTCATGTGAAAGATCTGGAAGAGTTTAAAGAGTGTTTTCAGGTTTTTAAAGCCTCTACTGATGTAAACAGGTGAGAGGATAATGTGCGCTGGTCGGAGTCGAAGCCTCAAAATCAACATTTTCACTCCCTGCTGGGCCTGTGTCCACAAACAGGTGGCTGTGGCTCAGTTGGTAGAGTCGTCGCCTCTCGCCTGAAATGCAGATTGACTGTTGACGGTTCGATCCCCAGCTGAGCAACATGTCCGATGTGTCCTTGACACTTAACCCTGTGCTGCTACTGTGGCAGTGTATGAATTAGTGTTGTACCTACTCTATGATGTACATCGCTTTGGATAAAAGCGTCTGCTAAGTGAATTGAATTGTAACACAAACGGCGCTCACAACATTCGTTTCAGCTTCTCACCAGCACTCATTGTTGCTAGGTTACAAAAGTTAACTTCTGCTTCCCTCAGTAATGTCTGTTACGTGTGTTTAAGATAGCTCCGTGTGCTTAATATTTGTTTTTCTTCAAACCTGGTCAGAACTTGGACTTTAGACCCGTTAGAGAATAAACAAGCATAAAAAAGACGGTTCTTTACCTCCTTCTGGTAGAGCTCGGACTCCTTCTTCTTACAGAAATCACAAACCGCAGCTGAAATGACGTAAATATCAGATGTCACACAAACATTCAACAAAGGGTCACTCAGTAAAGACAGAAAGTTCAGTCAGACTCTGAGCGCACACACACCGTCTGTCTTGAGCACGGCCTTGCAGCCGATGCAGGTGCTCCTCCTCTGAGCGAACGCCATGAGCCCGCCGATCTTTGAGGTGAGCACGGTCCTACAGCGCGTGTGGTCGCCCTCTGACGGGAGATAGAAGATTTTTATTTACACTTTCAGGGCTGAACTTTTCTTAGTTTGTCATAATGATTAATCCTAAAAAAAAAACATGGCTGTGATGTGCGTCGTCTGGACTCACTGAGCAGGATGCTCTCGGCTTTGCTCTCTCCCAGGATGGGCTCAAATATCCTGAGCAGAGGTTTAGACAGCTGCTGCTCCAGGTAGTACTGCGTGTCGATGGGAATGTTGTTCTCCAGCACAAAGATCGGGTCCTAAAGCAACACGTGGAAAATCAATATCATCATCCAAAACAATATCTGATTATAAAAGGGGGGGGATGTAAAAAAATGTATGATGTACAGATTAACAAGGACTCCACTGACCTCTGACTTCATGTACGCTGCTACTCCCTTTGCCGCCTTGATGATGACGTAGGGGACTCTGTCTCCCAGATTGGGGGCGCTGCCGGCGTCTCTCTTCCTCATTCTGTAAAATACCAGTTATAAACGGTCACTTCACTCATCACACAACATTCAAAGTATTTCTCTTGGCAGATCATTTGATATAAGATTTACGTGTTCACCTTTCAGCCAGCTCCACGTGCGCCTGCTTGCCGGCGTACTCCTGCGCCGTGCGTGTCAGCTCCTTGGTGATGACCAGCTGGCTGATGTCGATCCGGTTACAGAGCAGGTCTGAGATGACTTCTTTAGCGTGATCCACAGCACCCTGAGGATCCCTGAAGGAACACCGACCCTATTCAGTACTTAAAACATGCACAGTGTGTGTGTCTGTACCTGTGTGTACCTGTGTGTATGTGTGTGTGTACCTGTCTGTGTGTGTGTGTGTACCTGTCTGTGTGTGTGTGTGTACCTGTCTGTGTGTACCTGTGTGTGTGTACGTGTGTGTCTGTGTGAGTGTGTGTGAGTGTGTACCTGTGTGTGTGAGTGTGTACCTGTGTGTGTGTGAGAGTGTGTACCTGTGTGTGTGTGTGTGTGTGTGTGTGTGTACCTGTGTGTGTGTGTGTGTGTGTGTGTACCTGTGTGTGTGTGTGTGAGTGTGTACCTGTGTGTGTGTGTGTGAGTGTGTACCTGTGTGTGTGTGTGTGTGTGAGAGTGTGTACCTGTGTGTGAGTGTGTGTGTGTGAGAGTGTGTACCTGTGTGTGAGTGTGTGTGTGAGAGTGTGTACCTGTGTGTGTGTGTGTGTGTGTGTGTGTGTGAGAGTGTGTACCTGTGTGTGTGTGTGTGTGTGTGAGAGTGTGTACCTGTGTGTGTGTGTGTGTGTGTGAGAGTGTGTACCTGTGAGTGTGTGTGTGTGTGTGAGAGTGTGTACCTGTGTGTGAGTGTGTACCTGTGTGAACCTGTGTGTGTGTGTGTACCTGTCTATGAGGATTCTCTGCAGACAGGTGTTGATCAGGTTTGCCACCAGGGGGGAGTTGTCTCTGCGAACAGTCTCGATTCCTTTGCAGTCCATCTTGTCGTGCGTGTCTGCGCTGGAGGAGAAATAGAGGCCTGCGTAGCGCTTCTTGTTGATCAGCAGGTACGGGTAGTACACCTGTGGAAGTGAAGAGGACGAGAGCTGAGAAGCTGAGGGGACATAGAAGTTTTTTTTTTTTTATAAATCCAGTTGACGGCGGCGTTACCTTCTCAAACTCCAGCTTGATGGGCGGTGTGAAGTGAGACGACACCCACTCTGCCGCCTCCCTCCCGACTTCCATGGCCTCCTTCACTGTCTCCACTCCGAGCTTCACCATGACGGAGTCTGTGTCTCCATAAATGACCTTTGAGAGATTCAAATGAAAACACTTCTTCAAGCAAGCGCACATGAAAAACATCTGGTAGAAGGTCAAACACTGGATTTAAAAAAATGTCCCCTTCTTTAAGTTCAACAAGTGAAAAAGTAATAAAAGAGTTTGAGTGAATATTGGAGGGTCACTCCTTCACGTTTTCCTCACCTTGGCGTCACCTGGGTAACCATTGGAAAGTGTATATTTGGACTCAACCAACTGTTTAGTTTGCTCGATCATCTGTCGGCCAAAACCAGTGACGCTCTGAAAGGAAAAACAAAAAACATTACTGAGGACGAATTTATGGATGTTTTCTGTGTTTTTATACCTGCTGTGTTTTACCCTGTGAACTTAAATGTTCTTAAGAAATAATGTGCTATATAAATAAAGTTAACTGATGGCTTGGAGAATGCATCACCCTTCCACATAAGAGCAACAAACCAACCTGTTGTTGTTCAGTGTGACATCGAGGTCTTTAGATTTCTACCTGTTCTGAGGTTTCTTCCTCTACACTTATCTTTGCTCTACATCTGTGATGTTTACCGTCTCTGCTCTGACTTCAAGAAGCTCACCACATGACGTGTTGATGTAGGACAGCTGATGTGTCAAAACACAGAACAACAACAGAGTCATGCAACCTCTGAGTTCATGCTCACAGGACGGATTTGTTCAGATTCTCCTTTTGAATACTTTCAGTTTTAGAATCTTGATTTAGAAAACTGGAGTATTGGGGCGGCTGTGTCAGAGTCGGTCGACTCAATCAAAAGGTTCGAGAGTTTGATCCCAAGCTCCTGCAGCCACATGTCCAAAAAGTGTGTGAATGGATGAGTTAATACTGATGGACTCTTTCCACAGCAGCCTCTACCATCAGTGTGTGAATGTGTAGGTGTGACCTGCGGTGTAAAAACACTGAGGAGTCAGAAGACTAGAAAATAAAAAGACAAGCTCAAGTCCATTTTATCATTGTCATAACAATAAGCGGAGTATTCTAACATGCAGTCACCTGAAAACCTTTACAAAAGTCAGATTCACTACCCTGCTATGTCCTCACCTGTGAGATCTCTAAGCAGGGCAGCTTGCCCACCTGGGCTCCGGTGAAGCCATAGACAGAGTTTGCGCTGATTTTGAGGGCCAGCTGTCGGCCGTCCAGCACCTGCATTTTGAAAGGGTCCGTTTCCTTTTTCAGCTCGGTTTTGGCCCTGCAGAGAAAGGACGGGGAAAGGTTGAGAAGGGAGCCATGCTGAATGATTTCAAAGAAAATATTCTAAACACTTGTAGCCGTGAGTCAGAGAATCAATAATTTAACAGCCGAAGCAGAAAGTCAGAAGCTGTCTCCTAAATCAGTTACGTTTCCTGTTCAGACTGGCTTTTATTCTGTGGATTATTTGGACAGTTCAAACCTCTTTCTGGCAGACAGCAGGTTCTCCAGGATCTCAGGAAGAAGTCCTTTCCTCACAGAGCTCTTCACAAACATGTCCCCTGTGGGAGTCTTGATGAAGTCCTCCGGTGCGAGGCTGAAGACACACAAACACTTCAGACATTAGCTCATCATGTTAATACTAGAAGAAAACACATTTTATTGGGCATAGAGTGAGAATCAATATGTTAACTAAAGCTTTATTTCCACCACGTTAAGTTTTGATTTCTCTTTATTCTATTACAAACCTCAAGGCCAACCTAATAAATATGAAGAGTTATATTTAGCTCTCGCTCAGCTGCAAAAAAAAAAAAAAAAAGAGAGAGAGAGATAAAAGCCGCTCTGTGCCGTTTTAAACGCTGTCACTTTCATCTCTCCTGACTACAAGATGTCAGATTGCTCGTCTTCTTAAAGACAACCACAGAAGAAGAAAAGCACTTCTCACTTCTGTCTCTCCGCGGAGCCTTTCTGCAGCAGGGTTGTGTAGCACAGATTGTGAGCCATCATGATGGACGGATACAGGGAGGAGAAATCCAGGGTCGCTATGGGAACGCTGTAGTACCTACACAGAGAAAGAGAAGGAAGGTGTGTGAGAAAGCTCGCTCTGAGCTGAGGACAGCGAGGAGTCTCACTCATGCAAAGACATGTTTTTTACCCTTTTTCTGGCTCGATGACTGTTGCCCCGGTGTAGTCTTCTCCTCCTTCTGTCTTTACAACGGGCATGACCAGGTCCTGCTTCATGGCCTGAAGACGCAGAAACACTTATTTACCATCTTTAAAAGTGTCTGTAAGCATACAGTCTCTGTCTGGTGTGTTTGTTTGCCTTCGTTACCTGTCGCAGCAGCTGAGAGACGACTTTGATCTGCTGACCTCTGGAGAGCAGGTAGGTGAGCGGCACACCTGTCACTCTGGCCATCTCCATGTAGTTAATCACACACATCAGCTTCTGCAGCAAGCGCAGAGGGAGGTAGGCGTCCTTCAGGCAGTACACGGCCAAACGACGACGGGTCTGTTCGTTACCGTTCTGATGGTGGAGGAAAACAAGAGGAAGAAAATCTAATATTTAAATCATAAATATGATATAAATAAATATGATAAATTTAAATCATATTTAAAGATATTTGTCAGGGAAATTACACAAATATTGAAATGTTGCTCTAAATGATTTCTTTCTCTTTCAGATGCTACAATGTTTTGAGGTTTACCTGCAGGTCTGTGATGATTGAGTGTTGGACATCCTCCTTCTGCTCTTGCAGAAAGTGGTAGCTCACAGCATTCAGTGTGTACGAGCGCAGTTTGTAGTCCCTGAGAAGAACCTGAGGGAGACACAGAAACCAGTCACGGTCTCTTGTGTGAAAACGGGGTCGCACTGCACCACAAGCTAGCTGTGCAGTGACCCAACAGTTAATCAAGCTATGATTAATCATGACAGGCTGTTGATTCTGACCTGCAGCAGGTCAAACTGAACTCTCCCCTCCATGTTGATGGTCTTGTTCTCTCTGCGGCCCATCTGCTTGCTCTGAAAGTTTGAGTCTTTCATGACCGACTTGATGCCTCGCACTCGACCGAGGTAGGGAAACAGATTCACCTGAACACAAAGAAAATGTTTACTTGAGTAAAACAGTGAGGGGGAGTGTCTTAACTATAGAAACCTTTGGGATGATCATTTATTGTTTTTATTCAGTCTGTTTATTTATTACTGAGTATTTTTTTTAGGTCTGATATCATATTTTTACCTCTTGTGTATAATTTGTTGTCGTCTGAAAATGGAAATGGCTCAGTCTTACCTTTAAAGCAGCAGCTCTGTTGAGCAAATAAGGAAAGTCAAAGTTTTGGATGTTGTATCCCGTGATGATATCTGGGTCCACTGTCCTCATGAACTCCGCCCAGCTCTGCACACAGAGACACAAACAGAAACACAATGATCGACAAAAACACAAGAAAAGAGAAAGAGGAAAACGTGTCTGGAAAGTTTGTGTTTGTCTGTGTGGTACAGAAACCAGCGTGTTTACCTGCAGGAGCTGTTTCTCCTGCGTAAAACACAGGATCTGAGAGCCCACGATGCTGGCGCAGGACTGGAGGGTGAACACGGTGCGAATGAAGGGCTCCGTCTCACCCTGCCGCTGCACCATAGAGGCTATCTGAATGACAGGGTCTTTGTCTGCTTCTGGGAAAATACCTGGAAGGAAAACATCGAACACCTGAGTCAAACTCTACGTGTGCTTTTTAAACAAGTCAAATCAGGTTTGTATGTCGTATAAAATAAATGCCAGAGAGAAAAAAAGGAACCCTACCTTTCCTTCCTGCACACTCAATGTCAAAGCTGAGGACCCTGAGCGGGGCGATCCTCTGCCAGTCTCCTTCTGCAGGGTGACTTATCAAATCCGTCCATCCCACGTCCACCTCATACTGACACAAGGACACCTGAAGGACAAAAGAGGGGGCGACGGCTCATGAATACTTTTAAAGAAGTCTGACAAAGTTAATGCAAAGTCATTTGATGCCACTCAGAGGGCTGCGTTCTCTCTGACTTTCTGCAGAACAAATACGAGGAGGCTGGATAAAGTCATAGTGAAACATTCAGAAGTTCTTGTTAACACATTCGGCTCGTCCTGCAAATACCAGGAGTTTTTTTTTTTTTTTTTTAATTGTGAAAGCCCTCTTCACATGTGTGATGCTAAACATAGGCGTAAACTAGACCTACCTTTCCTGGGTACTGAGAGTCCGTGTCCCCCGTGCTCTTCTCTTCACGCACTCTGTACTTTCCTTTGGGAAGTTCAATCCAGCAGCATCCCACCACGTCACAGTCCACCATAAACCTGCAGCACACAGAGGCTCATTAGGATGAAATCCAGCTTCAGTATTACAATAACCGTTCAGAAAAAAAGAACATTAGCAACGATAGATCCAACATGTCTGAAATGATACGGTCACAAACAGTTAAAAAAAAAAGGTAAATAAGTCTGTCTGTTTACTTGTGAAATCACAGCCACAGACACAAACACACACCTGATCTCAAAATCGATGTTGGCCTCGTATGGTTGGTAACCCTGTATGGGGAAATGGCCGAATTTGAAGCCCTGCTCCAGCAGTCTCTTAGCGGGGGCGATGAGACGAGGCATCGCCATGGTTATCTGCAAAAACTCCAGAATGCGTTTCCCATGGTAACCATACATGTCTGTAGGGGAGAAAAAAAAAACAGATGTTTAACTCCAGGTATCGTCCCAAAAGAAGCTAAATCTACCATCTCTGACACCGTGTCCTAACAGCACATGAGCGTTGGATATCACACTGCATCTGTTCAATATTTAATTCTTTGCTTTTTGAATTTCCGTTTTCCCCTTGCAAAGATAGAAACGGGGCGTCAGGGTAAGAACAGCGTGCTGCGTCACACTGTGTCGCTCTCGGGCTGTCAGGACAATCAACAGGAAATAATAAAAATCAAGACGATTTTGTCGCTGAGGCTCGCTCGTGTTGCGTGCTGTTAGGAAAGGCTGTTACATGCAACTTCCACAACTTAGTTCAGCCTTGATGTGAGCGAATCTCAAAGACGTAAACGAGCGTTTTTAAAACACTTGTACTCACTCTCTTTGCGGGTGATGTCCACAGCCAACACTGTGACGGAGATGTTGTCCTTATTGGATCTCATATCCTTCAGGACAACATTGTTCAACTCTCTCTTGAATTCTCCCAGGTCACTCGATTTGAAACCTTTTCCAACAGGAAGCAGAAAGTGAGACTTGTGAGCTTGTAAACATTTGAATCATTCAGCATGCTTTAAAGTTATAACGTGATCATTCACAGATTAATGACAACAACTCACCTGTTGGAGCAGGAACATAGAAGTAGGGTGCAAAACCATGGATGTGACAACACACACTGTTGCCGCCGTCTGTCACCCCAAACATCCGGATGATGGGGACTTTTCCCTGCGACTGTCCAGGCATGCCAGCAACCGTTCCTCCTGCACAACACAGAAATCACTTTCAGACAGCTGTGATATTTTCTTTAAAGGTATGAGGAATTCAGGTCCGCACTTCTGACACTCAAGTCTATTTGAAAACATCCACTTTAATATAATTACCCAAATAGTAGTCGAGATCAATCTGCTGAAACACCAAAGTATCAGATGACGTGTCCAGTGAAGGGGCTTGAGGTCGTCGCCATCGAGGGTTGAGGTCTGCTGAGAAGAGGCTGCCTAAAAAGATAAGAAGTAAAGACAGATATCAGAACAAACAGCTTGAAGTTGTGAAGTAGAAGTTTAGGTTGCCCATGCACAGTCGGAGGTTTAAAACAAGACAAAGTAACGTCTTTGAGCAACTTTATTTTGAACAGGGCAACATTTCGATCCATAGATCTTCCTCAGGCAGCCTAAATATTCTTTGTCCAGTGTTTAACTTCATGTCTTGACTGGGATTGCAGCTTCTGTACATGCAATTCCTGCAAATGATTAATAAAGTACGCTGGCCAAAAGTCGCCAAAGGCTCTGCAACGGATGAAACGTTACAGAAAAATCTGCGGCATATTTAGAAACGCTGCACATTCACTACTTATGCAAAACATAAACGTATTCTGAGCGACACTCACCTACAGGAATGACATCATGGCCTGCCTGCCCCTCTGTCTCCTCTGCCTCCATGTCCACTTCATCAAACATGGACAACTCCTCTTCAAACTGCGATGGACTGTCCTCCCAGTCGCCTCCTGTTTTACCCCTTTTGGCCAGGGAGGCACCGCCAACAAAAGGGCCACCGTTGCGTCTTTTAAAATCCATGTCTGCAGAAGAAAAGTTGGAGAAAAGAGTAAACAAATATGTCCAATGAGGAGGCAGAAGCATTAGAACATTTCCAATAATACTACCTGCACAAACATTTTAAGACAATCATACACTGCTGGTCATGTGAGATTTTTACAGAACAGTGAAGCAACGATGCTTTTAAAACTCTTGTGACAATATTAACAAGAGCATGTTTTGCATTTTGTGTAGAACATCCTCAGCTCGCACAGTCTCAATTTGAAGACATGCAGACTGAACTTTAATAAGAGCCCCCAGATGGTCTCCATGACAACCTTCAGAATGAACTGTGAAAAGTTGATTTGTGCATGTCTAACTTTGTGAACAAGCTTGAACGTAAAGAGAGGGGCTTTGCGGGGTGAAACAGGTGCAGTGCTGTCAGTGATAAATACAGGAAAGAGTTACAATAACAAGATTTAGGTCAGCATTGGGTGGATAAAGTTCAGGAAGACCTCCATACACAGAAACTGACATATTCAATGATGTAGTTGTTGTTACTGTAATAATAAAGGAAAACACACAACTGCAGGTCATGTGGTGTGAATAATGCACAAAACAAAAGTAAGTGAAAGCTTTTCAACTGAACATAATAAGGTCAATTAGTTATGTAACCATCGTGACTGTTGTTGCTGTAAACGAAAGACAGAAAGACATCAAACACTTAGCATCATAACTACAGTAGCTACTATCTTCTCAATTCGCAGTGACACTTAAAAGGTGTTAACGTGGCACAATACTGAGTTAGACTACGTTTATTAAAGTAATCCAGTGGTTCAGTTCACGTTGAGTTATGTTTCGTTCAACTAGAGGAGATACTTCTCTTTGTAACGAGGAAAAACAGGCTAGCAAGCGCTGCTGTCAACAAGCAGAGCAGCGTCGCGCCAAATCGGATCTTACCAAAACGCAGCGCCGATCACCACAAAACCTGTCGGGATAATCTCCAACAGCTCAAAGTTTCTCAGTAAAGTTATAAAACACCTGACAACTGTCGTAACTTCTTCACAACAGCCCCCTGGTTGACAACAGCTCCCGCCACTCGGCTTCAATTCGTGAACTTTCACCGACGAACGCGCGGAAATTTCTGTTTCGTTACTGGACCCGGAATCAAAGGAATGGACAGTGACGTCACTAGTAATACGGAAACCAGGGAGGGTATTAACACGGTTTGTCCTCACCTTGTCGATACAAAATACCGTGTGTTTCCGGAAAAATTACGTCAGCTCCGGTCGGCTCAGCAAGGGAGGGAAAATAATGATTTATCTAAATGTGTCCCAAATAAAGAGTTTAAAATACGTTTTTATTATATTTAAACCATTAAAATAAACTAAAACACTCAAGATGACATACACCTTTTTACATTTGGCTAAAAACGGAATTCAGTGGTAAGCTACTTGAAATTTGTTTTAAAGCCGGAAGTTTGATAAGTAAATTGTCTCTAGCCTACAAAGCAAATGTGCTTAAAATAATAATATAGCTTTATTTGTGTAGCACCTTTAAAAACAGATGTTTACATTACATCTACATACATTACATTACAAGTGCTTTGACCGACAAAGCAAAGACAGGAACTCAGGGCAATAACCAAATAAACATCATCAGTCAGGCCAAACAGAGAGAAGTCTAAGTAGAATAGAAATGCAAATAAAAGGAATACGAAAGACATAACAGACATGCCCCATGACAAGGGGCAGATAACATGATAAAGCAATATAAATTAAATTAAAGATAGAAAGTAAACTAAATGATGAGGCCAATGTTAAATTATAAGAGGAGGAAGACGATATCATATGCAGACAAAGAGTTGTATCGCTTAAAGGTTCTCCCTTAAATACATTATTGGTACACTCATATTAATAAACAGTATTATCACACAGTTTCAGTGTTTCAGGAGTACTAAGATGAAATTCTCATCAGATCACAACAAGACAACTTGCTTGATTGACATGGTTTTCAGATCAATATCTTAAAGATAAAGAGAAGTAAAACTCAAACTTGTTCTAGTGAAGAACACTTTAAATTCAACTCAGACAGGAAGGCACCATAAATGGAAACAGATGTATGCTAATGCCAGTAGATGTCAGCAACAACAAGGAACATCCATCTCTTTTCATACGAATCAATGCACTCTGGGTGTTGTGCAGCTCCCTGAAAGCCTGAAAGTCTACAGACTCAGATATACTGACAGAGTCAAACTAAAGATTTGAAGGTGGCAGGGGGATACTACAATGCTGAGTGACAGATCAGGAGTTCAGATCTTTGCTAGATTTAAGGTTCCTGATGTATTGACTGTGAGACCCCCACAGGGACTCTCCCTTATTCTCAGCTGCTTTACCAATATAGACGAGTGGATACTGTAGGAGAAGCCAAAGAGGACTGTGGAGGGGTCGGGTTTCTTAATGTCACTGGTCACGTTGTTTTACCAAAACTATGCTCTGCGTGACCCTTTGAAGACATTATAAATAACCCTCTTGCTCTTCTCCTCCCTCTGGGGGGGGAAAAAAAAAGTGGTTGCCCCTGACTCCCCTCATTTGTTTGGATGAAATGTTAATCCACCAACCACGGCTGCGCCCTCAAACCTCTCCTCAGCCAATAGCGCCTCTCAGCTGAGGAAAGCGCCCACTTCCTGTTAAACTGTGCACAGAGGGAGGGATGGACCAATGCGATTCAAGCTCATGAATAATGGAACAGAAAAGACCCCTCTATCAAACAATTTCTTCCTGCATGGCAGCCTGTGGGCGTCCCCTTTCTCTGCATGACAGCGAGCGCACTAAACCAATGTGAATCGCTGGCATTTAGCAAAAGCCGCCGCCCCCCTTTTCCTCTGTCTCCACTGTTTCCTTCTTTTGGATAGACTGTGACAGCTGTCAATGTGTTGTGCATCTTCGTGAAGCAAGGACAAACCCGAAGGGTAAGTAAACAGTTGTCTTTTATTCGCTAGATCTGATTAAAACGGAATATTTCCTCGCCGGACGCGAGCGCGCACCAGGACGCGATGTCCTATGCGCGTTTCCGCAGCTGGCTTGCTGTAGGTGCTTCAAGTCACGTTCGCCTCACAAATCAAGAGTATAAACAGACGATAGATTTCAACAGATTGCAAACAGCCGGAGCTCTGCAGTCATGCGGCTGTGTGTGGATGTTTGGGGAACTCGTCCATTTGGAGACCTGTAGGCCTGCAGGACAGTAACAACCAAAACATTCCTTAAAGGGGCAATGAACAAGGGCATGATGGGATGATTGTTGCTTTTCATGAGAGTTTTAGCTAAGCAATCATGAAGTGGTGTCCGAGGCACGCCAGGGTCAGAGAGAGGAAATCAGTACAGGACATTTCTCCTCATTTATAAAGATTTATAAAGATGGGCTTTATTTCTGTCTTGATTCACGTCAAATCAAACTCTTAAACTTTCCCCTGTCGGTGTTAAATAAAGTCGATTCTTTTAAAGCCCTTCTCCACTCAAAAATGTGTTTTTCTTTTGTTGCTCCACTTCGATGATTGAGGCTCTCCGTTCAGGATGATGTTTGTGTATTTGACATTTTACATCAGCTGTTTTCAGGTGAACGGTTTCTCTGTAAGTGTGTCTGATGTTCTGACTTCACCGCTTCTCTGGAAGCCAATCACAGCAATGCAACAAGTAGCCTATGATTGGAAACTTGAAACGTCCCGAGCAAGAGACACCAGATTGTAGATTATTCAATGAATGAGAGGGAGTGATTGGATGTAGTTTTTAGGATTTTTAAAGAGTGGATTAAAATGAATGCAAATACAATGACACTTTTGACATGTCTTTAATCACTTAGGTTTAAAACAGATGAAGTGCATTAAAATATGGTTTTCACCTATCTGAAATTGGGTTGTCATGACACCAGAATGTTAAACTTCTTCATGATACAAGTAAAAGATAATATCAGTAACACTGCAACACAAATAGAAGTCCTAGGCATCCAACACTGGGTAACTTCTTGGTTTCAATTATCAAAATTTGCAGGCAGAGGGACACAGGTGGCCTAGTGGTTAGTTCGCACACCTGCATGTACAGATGCTACCGTCCCGGGTTCGAATCCAACCATGTAATTCTCCGCTCTCTCTCTCCCTGATTTCCGACTCTGTCCACTTCCCTGTCTCTCCAATAAAGACAGAGAAAGCCACAAAAAATATTTTTTAGACAGGGTTCAAATTCCTACACACCGTCTATATTCAGCAAAAACACTGGCGAGCTTTACAGAAGCTTTTCCAATGTTTTTGTGCAATTTAGACGGTGTGCAGGAGCTATATTGCAATTTTTGATGGATCTTATTCTCTTCCACGGTTGCGCACCTGTCTTATAGTAATTTTAAAAGCACCGATCACTTAAAAAAAAGAAGCTGTGTCTTTTTTAAAACACTTAATTTTGGTAAGTATCAGAGTATGGAACATTTTGACAAATCTAATCTGAGCTGCATTCCGTCTCCAGTTTTGGTTTATCTGAGCCTTTATCAAGCCAGGACAGCCAAGGAATTTCTGACCAACTTATTCTAAATAAACTAATCTAATCAGTCACGTTTATTCGGATCAACTTTCTGCTGAGCAGTGCAGAAACAATGTGAAAGTTGTTGAACAAGAAGAGTGTTACTCGGTGTGTGTGCATCAGTTGTAGTTTTTCACATGTCCCAACATCACCCCCTGATTACTACATTTCATTGGAACATGTCAACAAGTTCTACTATGGATCAAGTTTATACCTGATCTGTGGCGTCCTCCACCTCTCCCACGCCACTCCCCCGTCTGTTAATGTGGTTGCACCATTTCTGCAAACAGGAAGTGAACACAAAGTTGTATTTTACGTCAGAGGGAATGCCCTCCTCTCTAAATTAGCTGTTTAATGTTTCCACTACCAACAGGAAGACGGATCATTAAAAACCGCTGTAGGATGCATTAGCAGAATGTATTTATCCGTCCACAGGCTCTTTGGTGCTTTTATGGTGTCGTTACTCTGATCAGATTAAAGTCACGCAGAGCCAACGTGTAGTTTTTGTAAACAAAAAGAGGTGTAGCATGAGTTATCCTTGAGGAAGATACCCTTTGACTGCAGAAGATTGTACCCAGAGCAAACACTGCAGGCCAACTCCCTGTCACCCAATGAACCTCGTCACTGTTAAGCTTCAGACTCAGTTTATTACCTCTTCAGAAACACGTTTACCTTCATTTGTTGTCTTCAGAGCTGCTCTGGTACGAACAAGGATTGAGAAAGCAGGTTTTTAAATCACACAGTGGTGTAATGTAATGATGTTGTGAAATAGGATGTGTGGTGACCTGTTGATGTCATGATGGTAACGTGCAGCTATGTGAGGAAATGTTACTCAGAAAGAAAAGTAACATTAAATTTAGTTTGAAAAGTTTCCCCATTATAAGTAAGCTGATTAGTTCTGTATCCAAAGAAATGAAACTAAGAAAAGACGACCGTATAAACGTTTTACTTTCTCTTGATAAATCCTCCTCACTCTGTTCTGTGTTTTTTTTTTTCCCAGCATGCCGCTGGCTCGCAGCCTGTCTGTCACGTCCCTGTCAGGACTGGAGGATTGGGACGAGGATTTTGATTTGGAGGATGCCGTTCTTTTTGAGATTGCGTGGGAGGTCGCCAACAAAGGCAAGAGTTTCTGTGTTTCCTGTGTGTGGACATATCTTTGTGCATGCATGCGCCTACTTTTTGAAATCGGAAAAAAAGATAAATACCTGCACATTTTTAAAGATTTACTTCTATGTTTTTCCGTTCTCTCCTGCATGGCTGTTGACACATTTTGTCACTTATGTTGTGCTTCAATGTTCTTGGTGAACGGCCACTTACCCTAGAGGCAAAAAATATTTCTAAATATCTAAACTGAGGCAATCACAATACCACAACTACAAACTTTGATAAGATACTAGCAGTGGTGTAGTGGTCCCTAAAGAAGCGTGGACACTCTTACATTTTTGCTTAAATGTTTTTTTGTGGCACTTCAGACGGAAGATAAACATCCTCTGTTATAAACATTGAAGACTATACTCTTGCATATTTAGTCAGTGTGTACTGGCCAATCAGAGACAGAGGAGGAAAGGTCATCCCTTCACCA